GAAGACAAGGTTCGAGGCCACCACGAAGGCCGATTAAGCTTCATAAGTGTATTTTCTTGCACTTTCTTGAAAGATGAGGGTATCAAACAATAGAACTGACTCAAACAAGGGCATTGGAGCTACATCGACCACAAGGGGGAGCCATCGGCCATCCATCGGCCATCAAATGAGCTTATCGGCCAACAATTAACAATTTGGCCCATCGGCCAAAAGTGGCAGATTCGGGACAATTTTGTCCATTTCCTTCGGGTCTTTAAATATAGGTTTCCATACCCTATTTCCTTACTTCTCCTTAGCCGAAAACTCTTGTTCTCTCTCTCTAGGGCATTTTCCTCCCTTCGATCCGAGCTTTTTTTCCGTTTTCGAGCCTCCCGCAACTTTTGATTCGCGAAACCCTCTTCGTTCCAAACACTTGAACCGAGCGAAACGTGATTTTGGTGCCACATTCTCGATTTCCACCACTTGGGGTTTGTTTCCCCCGAGTTAGCCTTGGTTTCCGTGCCTTCTCCCGGACTTCGACCTTTTCTCCCATTTTTCATCCCTTGGGGTTGACTTTCTGTTGACTTTTTACATTTTTACCCATTTTCCATAACGATATTCCACGGGGTGGGACTCCCCCAGAGATGGATACGGATCCCGAGGTAGAGCTCTTACCTCTCAGTGTTCGACCGTTCGACCCGGCGGTATACCGGCCCGCGATACATGTACTGCCTCCTGATAGCATCCCCCAGTTTAGGAGCTACGCGCGAGGTGCGCCATTGGAGCTCCTGCTATGCGAGCCGGAGTTGCACCTTTCTTAATTGCGCCGTTGAGGTATACTCTTCCTCTTTAGTTTCTGCAATATAGATCGTATATCTTGGATAGTTGATACTGCCCTTTATCTGATCATCACAAACACACTTTTAGATCACATGCTTAGTTCACCCTGAGCACACTCATACACGATATCTGTGTAAACTCGAACACATGCACACACACTGCATTTTCATCAATTCTGAACATATTCAAACACTATATTTCTGACATTGCTTCGCATCTGTTTGTCTTGAACACAGGGAGATTCCCATGCCTTCCGGGGGTATGGGAATACCATCACCCGAGGTTAGTACATGGAGTTTCCTGATGAGGTCCGACACATCGTTGATCAGGTCAGTTTTGGCGCATTCTGCCTGGGACTCTCGTGCCTCATTGCGAGTAGGCCCCTTCTAAGCGTGATGGTGGAGAGGTGGTGGGACACCACCGATTCCTCCCACCTTTTCGTATCGGGGGAGATGAGGATGACCCCCTTTGACTTCTCCATGCTCACTGGCATTAGAGTAAGGGGTGATCCAATTCCCTTTGATACTGATATGGGCGAGTGGGATGCTGCCCAGATCTTCTTGCTTGGCGCTCGTCCACCTCTCTCCCAGCTAGGCTTCATGAGGTATTCTTTGTTCGAGGACCAGTTCAGAGTGCAGATGCTGATGACCCGCGAGGAGGTCGAGTAGTATGCCCAAGGGTTCCTAATGTTCTTGCTGGTCACCACTCTCCTCGCTGACCGGGCGAACACAGTTGGACTCTATCTGCTGAGCGCACTGGTGGACATGACCAGGATCCGACGATATGACTGGGGTGGCGCAGGTTTGGCCACGCTTTACGGGTACATGAACTCTTCATCCCGCCGCAGCGGACATCTGCTAGAAGGCTACTGGCGAGCCTGGGAGGTACACTTTCCCTTTCTATTTTACAGTTTTTCCTTACATTATCTGTACACCACGCACACTGCATACACGCAATCTGCTTTACACTGGCTGTACACTTCACACACTGTACAATACACTACACACCATTCTCTGGTTTCTGCTTTATTTGCATACTGCCTTACTGATAAGCATACTCATTCTTACCCTGTTACATTCTGTAGTTGTGGGTGTATGCCTACTTTCCGAGGCTTGCTCCAGAGCCAAAGGTGGAGATGCCCCTCGCTGTCCATATTCTCATCGATACGATGTGAGGTGTGGGCAGAGACCGCGGGAGTCTTTCATTTTCTTCCGCTGATACTTCAACACCATTACCGCAACAGAGGTATTTCGAACATTACAGCTTATTTAAGCTTCGCTTTACATTATACTTTCAACAGCAGATAACAAACTGTATATCCTGTCATTTGCAGATCACCTGGCAGCCCTGGACCGCGTTGCCGGATACAGTGAGAGACCAGTACATGGGTGCTCGGGAGATTACCCAGTTCCAGGTTTTGCTGGAGGGTCTGGTCTGCCGGGCTTGGTACAAATTCCAAACACGCTGAAATCGTGTGAGGAAGGACATACTCTAACCATACTGAAATCGTGAAAAGAGGAAGGGCAAATTGCAAACACGCTGAAATCGTGTGAGGAATGACAGACTCTAACCATGCTGAAACCGTGAGAAGAGGAAGGACAAATTCCAAACACGCTGAAATCGTGTGAGGAAAGACAGACTCTAACCACGCTGAAACCGTGAGAAAAGGAAAGGTAAATTCCAAACACACTGAAATCATGTGAGGAAGAGAACACTCTAACCACGCTAAAATCGTGAGAAGAGGAAAACAAATTCCAAACACGCTGAAATCGTGTGAGGAAGGACACACTCTAATCACGCCAAAATCGTGAGAAGAGGTCTGAAAACAAGCAATCAGGAGCGCGCTCGACGCAACCTGAGATAAATTCCTAACATGCTGAAATCGTGTGAGGAAAGAGACACTCTAACCACGCTAAAATCGTGATTAGAGGTTCGAAAACAACCAATCAGGAGCGCACTCGACGCGTCCTGAGATAAATTCCAAACATGCTGAAATCATGTGAGGAAAGAGACACTCTAATCATGTTGAAATTGTGAGAAGAGGAAGATAAACCAATCAATCAGGAGCGCATTCTACGCAACCTGAGATAAGTCCCAGGGTAGAACGATCCTAAACGCTGCTTAATGTAAAAGGATAAATGATACAAGATAGCACAAGATGCAAATAAATGCAATAAGTGCGATGATATGATACATATTACAAGCAATACAGTGCATGATGCTTAGGGAATGCAATAAACAAACAAAGTGGCACTTTAGTAAGCACCTCATGGGGTGAGTGGTGATGAACCGCTACCGCTCTACTCTGACAGGGATCTCCCATTGTGTTCTTCGAACTCTTACCTTCAACTTACAGTACAAAGGTCATGAAATGCTGATAAAGGGTAACCTCTGCATGTAGAAGCCACGGATGTCGCTTTTCTTCCCGATCATATCCACAATTTTCCCTATTCTCTAATGGGGTGACAGACTAGGTTAGTTCAATATCCAGAATTGAGGCGCATACCAGCTACCTCAACCTATGGGGCTTCCATATAGATTTCAAGCCGAGGATACACCTCTGGGTATTTAAACCAGACTTTAGTCTCGGAAATCCCGAACCTTTGCATTCTTGGCATCGCCATTCGAACTCTAGTTTCCACCGTCACAGTTGGTCTCCTAGGAACTCATTGCAAACATAGCCAAGATGCCTCTGGCAAGGAAATGGTGCTCAGAGAGAGCACTTCTGATCGCCATTCTGGCTTGAAGCAGACTTGATCTTGAGCTTGAAGTAGAGGCACACTCATTCTTCAGAGCATTGACAAGGCCTAAAGAGATGCATATGGAATGCAATCTCAGAAATTACTAAAGTTGAAACACACTAAGATGCTCCAAATTTTCCCTCTTTTCTTTTGCTTTGCAGGCCGAAACCTATGTAGCTTCAGATAGGTCCTGGTTTCACTGTTCTCACATGACCTGGGTTGAACCCTGCAGTTTTGTGAAAGAACAAATCCTGTTTTGCACAAATGTGGAGAATGGCACGGCACTCTGAGCACAAAACGATTCATTTTTGAAATTGAGAAATGAGTTCTTAACCGGTGTAGACGCGCCCACGTGGGGCCCTCGCTACAGTTCAGACTCGATTTTGTTTGCGGTTCTTAGTCTGAACCAAAGAGTCCAAATCCGACAAATCATTTTGAGAAAACAGATTTTGAAAGAAGTTCCAAACATGGACTGCTTTGCCAGATACAGAGTCGCCACCTAAATATTTTATTTTAGGGGAAATTAGGAAACCCTGACTCAGTGCCAAAGGCCACGTGTCCGTCATCACCAAAGTTGCCTCGGCTCGGGAACTTGGGTACGATTAGGGAAGGTCAGCTATGAGCACCCCCCCTCGCCCGATCCGAAGATCGGCCTCTACTAACCATGATATCAATTTTTGAAGATGTTATGTGTTCTTAACCCGATTATTAGCCTAGAATTACTATGTTACGCACACAGCACAAAAGTATAGACTAGATTGCCTAATTTGGGAATAAGCATTGCATATCCGATTGTTTTGGAAAAATGTTTTGGAATTTGCTACTCGCAAGTAGGCTAACACACGGATTTCAATGAGCCATTCCAACTCAGACAATCCAACCTTCACCCACAGGCATTCAAGCGAGGTTTATATTCACATAAGCATCTAGCCACATTGGTAAGCATGTGCATGTTACATTCACACTTCATGCGAGATTGCTAAGGCATAAATATACATTGTACTCCGTGCCAAAAAAAGACTTGTTAGCAATCAATGCATGATCCAAGTCCTATGTTTAAATGTCTAATGCACGCATACGGAATGTCACTAGAGTAGGCTCGGCTATTCTTGAATGACATGTGAAAATGCACAAGTAGCATGTATTCAAGTTAGATTTGAAATACTAATGCAGTTAGCATGATGCGCCAGGCCCGGTGCACTGGCAATATGATAAATGATGCACGCATGCATAGCGTAAGTAGCGTACACGTGTACCAATACACTATTTTTTTTTTTTTTATCACTTATAAAGGTTATGGGCTGGGTTTAGACCTTAAATTTTAAGCGTAAGCTATGGACCTAGGTTCTCCCTATATTAATGTAACTGTTTTAAATTGTGAACTTTCATTTGTATTTATTTTCAAAAATATGAAAAATAAAAACGAAGAAAATGAAGTCAATACCAAACATGCCCTTACTTTCTAGATTATAAACCAAAAAGATGGTTACAGGTTCAAACAAAAACTGAAGTCCCATTTGCATTTAGCGTATAAAAGGAAAGAAAAAGCATTTTTGTGCTTGCATCATTAAAAAAGAAAAAAGAAAAAGAAAAGTAATGTCATCTTGACATGGCCAAGATGAATATACAATTCTTTAAAAACTCGACATTACAACAAGCAATCCGGCATCCTAGCTGACCTACCTCATTGGGTTAAACCTAAAAGAGAGACCTATCTGGGGGAGGTCCATACACAGTCTGCCATGAAAATGGGACAATCCATTTGCTGCCTTCATTGCCTGAAAAAAGAAATTTGCATATAAATATGATCAAAAGGGAATACCAAAATTGATCCAGAAAAACATATAGATAATGTTATTTAACTAAAATAAGGCCCTTGATAAAGTGAAAAGGTAGATTAGGATTCATCTAGTTGACTCCATGTTGATAGGACACGATCTTCTCAAGTTCAGTTGAGCAGATTTTAGTGTTAAGCTTCAACAGAAACAGTTCCCGAGTTTGTTTTTTTGTTTTGATTTAGCTGAGGTATGTTCAAAAAAGTAAGACTTATAGTGAGGACTTGGATCTGAGTTGGAGCTAATTGGAAAAGCATAAAAGTCAGATAAAAATGAAATGCAGCAAAGTAGATTGAGAATAAATTTTTAGGAAGGTAAACCATGAATGCTGAAAAATAAACAACATTATCCAGAGTGTATGCGTAATGCAAGATTCAATATTAACTTCATGATACATAGTTATCGACGACTACTTTTGATGGGATCATGTAAAACAACTGAGCAGAAACAATGAAAATCATCTGGCTCTATTTTCACCTTTTGCCTACGTATTAATAGGGGATCAGATATTACATAAATTCCCTAGTAGTCAACAATATGCCCTCAAGTACAACTTGTGGCATGCATTCCAAAACGAAAGCAAAGTTTCTTCACATTACATACAAAAGCTGTAGAAGAAACTGCAAATTTATAAATCAGATGAGTTCAAAAGTTGAAAACAACATTTCCAGCTTATAGCAATGTTCGATTGAAAAAGAGTACATGTCAAATATTTGGATAAAGACTATTACACCATATGACAGTTATGTATTCTATACTACGGTTACTTCCAGGGAAATAACTTGCAAGTTGTAACCATGGTTTTTGAAGGTGGTGGCTGTGGATGGTGGATGGAAACAATTCTTAGTTTGACATCATGTATGTAAATAAGCTAATGATTCACCCACAAAATATGTAAAACAAATACATAAATACAAATGAGTTGGGGATTATTGTCCCGAAATCAAGGATATGATTACTAATTAGGATTAAGGGATCTAATTCCAAATCACCTATTTATTAGGGTTCAAGCCCAAACTTACCTTGAAAATTATTAGGGTTCAGACCCAAAAGACTGCATGCCGCATCAGCAAGGTGGAAAGCCTCTGGTATATTATCTCCTTCCGAGCAATAACATAATAAGCAAGTGACCTTCAAACCTTTGGCCTAACAATTACCAAAAACCCTTTTGTAAGGAGAATATTGAAATTGGTCCACAAATTATATGAGTTACAATATGTCAACTCCAAAACAAGACTCTATTTAGACAGAAGAATCTAGAACTTCAAATTTTAAGTATTTTCCCAGCGGTAGACCACATACTACAACTCAAGTCTTTCAACTACAGTATCTTTTTGCATAAATTCCTAATACAAAAGAAGATGGTTCAGAGCAAAATGACTGCGGGAGCATGCTACACATGAGAATGAGCTAGGGTCTAAGAACACATACCAAAGTAGTACTCATTACCCAAAACCTGAACAAAATGTAACCAAAGCAGCCCGTGAGGGTCAGCTTAAATGGTAAGTTACCCAGGTTCTATCCAGGAGGTCTTAGGTTTGGCTCATGATGTCCTACTTACCGGATATGTGAGGCTAGTGGGTGGTCGCATGTATCCCAAGTTTGCGCTTCTGGGGTGGGTCCAAACCCTTGCCTAGGATCGGTTCTCGGTTATCAAAAAAAAATGTAACCAAAACACACTCAAGCAGTAGTACATGTATGCTGCAGGCTAGGAGGGTCACACACTAGGGGATAAATTGCCCATTAGAAAATGTCCATGCTTGTATGCAGTGAAATTTCAAAGAACTACCTTGAAACAAGAAAACAGGGCAGCAAAAGGCAAACTTGGATAGTAATCTTCTTCTCCCAGTTCATCTTCAAAAGCCATATTGTCGTCCAGTTCAGCATTTCCTTCAGCTAAGGTGCTAAGATACTTCCACAGCCTCTGCTCAGGGTTATATTCCTGAAGTCTTTTCCACCCAAGTCTCTCACAGTCATCATCTGTTCCATCCATACTGGCACTAGAAAGGTAATATATATGCAGACCACTAAAACAAATCACCAAGTAATCAAAACAATGTTGTCAATTGCCTAGGCGACTCTAAACAATGGACCTAGCTGGTTTATACACTTTTGCACAGGTAAAAGAGTTCCAAAAGATGATCATTGAATCAGTTTTTACATGAATGATTGTTAGAATAAGGAATATCTTTACTTTTTATGAGTTCCAATTATTTTTTAATCTCACAATATTTGATATCTCCAGAATCATGCATTTTGTTGAGTGACTTTTATATACCAATTTCCATGTTTCTATGGTGTCAATAACCAATTAAAAATGAATTGGGGGTGGTTTGCAGGATTTTCAAATATGAAAATTAAAATACTTACAGCAAATTTCTCAAAGAAAAAAATGTAAATGAAAGGGGAGTAGCTACTGCAGAAAAAAGAAAAAAGAAACTGTGAGGGAGAGAGAGAGAGAGAGAGAGAGAGTAGTCAAGCAGCTAAAATAATCAAAGTAAACATTGCAGTTCTTAGTACCTTGACATATCAATTGTTTGCCACCGTCCAAAATCTAAGCTAGAAAGCACAACAATGTGCTTTTTTCCACTAGCAGCAGCAAAATCAGCCACATTCTTTACAAATTCAACCATCATCCCCTGTTTAATCATCCACTTAGAACTTTAGAGTCAATTTCTGAAGAAATGAAAATGAAGACACTATCTCCTAATGAAATGGAAACAAGCATACATCAAATGAAAAATAACCCTATGGAAAATCTACGCCACATGATACACTTCAACTATGACTAGGAAACCGATTCATAAAGTAAACACATGTGTGTTTGTCCATGCATATCAGGTGGTTTTACTGGCCCCGTTTGCTTCCACTTATTTGAAACTTATGTAGTTTTACTTTGTTTTGATCAGAAACTTATGTAATTTTACCTTACATTCACACAGGTTAGGTACTTGGCTCAACTTATCAGATTTTCAACTTATTTGCCATTTCAACGTAAAAACCTCAAAATAAGCTAAAAAGGCTAACCACTACAACAAAAAAGGATTTTTACGGCACCAAATGCACGTCGTGGAAACGATTCTACGACGCACAAGGTAAAGCCATGTTATGACCAGTCATGGAAAGTCATTCACTTCAACGGCATGCCGTAAAAAATATTTAACGGCGGATCTTGTGCGTCGTGTTTGACTTTTCTACAATTACTTTTGCACGCCGTTAATTAAAGGGACAAACCACGATGCTCACTAGGACAAATATAATTCATTACTACAGACAATGGAGCAGCTCAATACAATTAGATTTCTGTCATCGGACAGTATCCAAGTTTATGCCCACTGGAACAGATTCAAAATGAATGACACAGATGGTTCAAATAGCGAACTAAGAAAATATGTAATGCTGTCACTCGACAAAGTTTAAGTAATTCTGAATAGTAACCATGGCCATGATTTAACTTATGTTGTCTTCTGTATATTTGCACACCAATACCAATCAGTGAAAAGAAGAAGAAAACAAAAAAAGAACAAACAAAAAACTATCCTTGATGGTGAATCACCATAAGTTTGAGTACACAGCTAAGCAATTGAAGAGACAAGAAAAAAATACATGACTTTGGAAAAAATCCAAATGCTAAAAATAAATTTAATTCATTCACTAAGGATAAAAATAAAAAATAAAAAAGTATCATAAATCCTTACCAAAAGATAGAACCTCAACAAGAAAGATGGATACCTCACATTGGCATGTGGGCGATCAAATATTTCACATTGATTGATGGTAGGCATTGAACTATGAAGAGGAAGAACAAGAAACTTGCTGGGATCTCTAAGTAAACTGTTTGCCTTAATTTTTTCAAGCAGCTTGGAAATGTCATCCCAACCAGTGAGGAATACAAGAATGGCTCCATCACCTCCTGACGACAGATGTGTTCTATTGTTGATTCCACCTACAAGAGATTAATGTATCTTTTAGGCAAAGAAGCATTTTCAAGGTAAGAATTAACACCAATGTGACTTGTGAGAACCCTCTAATATGTTCCAAGAGCTTTATAAGTATGTTCAACAAACAAATGAAAATGCTACTAGCTTAAAATTGTTCAATGGTGCAGTTCAAACCTTACACCTTTTTTTTTTCCCCCTAACAAATAAATTTGTACTTCAAACTCATCTGAAGAATTTTAAACGCAACAAATAGAATTAATAATAATAATAACAGCACCATGATGCTCAAAGTTCCAACATCCATATTTCTCTTAGTTTCCTACAAATAAAAAAGGGTTGTACTCAATGCATAAGGTTCCCTGCTCACAACAGGGTCTAGGATAGGAATAAGCGGGCAACCTTCCCCAAACTGTTTGTAGAGAGGCCGATTCCAGGATTCGAACCCACTCCACAACGCTGGGAATCCTAGACACCCCTCAAACTTGTTTAAATTAAAAGAGTAGCCTTATTATAAATATTTGTCTAGCTCCAAAGTGTCACTCCAATATCTTCCTCAAGTATCAATCTATTTGACAATTCAAATGTAAATGCTCAAATGTCCACTATCTAGGTAGCTGGCTGGTGTGCGACACCACAAACTTCCCTCTTACATGGAAGCTTCTATTTCAGGAACATTCCAGCTTCATTGTAGGAACCTGTTCTACAATGGTTGCTTTTTTTCTTTTTCTTTAATTCTTCTTTCTTTTACTTTATAATGATCTTTTGCCTTTTCTGCACCCGTTATGCTTCTGTGATCACTCAGCAACTTCTCTCCATGTTTTTTATTTTTTCAATCTTTTTTTGGTATTTAGTTTTGTATTTTATTAGGTAAAGCTACGGATATATTGCACAATTTCTGTGGATTTTCTCGTTTATGACCATTTCAGATATCATGAAGTCTGGCAATAGCTGCATAAATTGATAAATATAGCACTTCTATAGATGAAGTCGCATTGCGTATGTTTAGTTACTACAGGATTCAGTAAACCCACCCACAAACTTTTTCAATTAATTAAATTAAGTGTGTGCTTCATACTAATTTAATATAACAAAGCATCACAAGAAGGTCCATGCTTTATTTTCTGGCATACTAAAGCATACCACACTTTGAGCAGAATTGAGTTTTGTACTCATGATTTGCTACTTTTAAGCATGAATCTTATCTAAATTCATTCTTAAAAGTGTGACTTTCAACCATTATTGTAGTAGTGACTCTATGGAAATGTTTTATACATATGGATATCCTATGCTATTTGTGTTTGGAAAAGTATATAAATGACATCCTCAGTTAGTCCCATGTACTAGGGGACAACAAACTTACTAATAGCATATGATTGAGATCTTCTTTGCCTCGTGTGCGTATAGTATTGGGTTGTCATGCCCATCATTTATTCGATATCATAGTGATATAGTTGTGTAGTGGAGTAGGTTATATACACAAAAACAGAGTCCTACCCATGGCTACATCCTTTTGGAATTGTATTAAAAAAAAATTAAGAACGAAATTCTAAAGCCAACAATATTTTCATGAAAACCATGACTCTCACGCCACCTGACAACCAAACTAAACAATCATGGCTTGAAGCAACCCAATTAGAGGCATAACCACAACAAAACAACCATGGTCTGAACCAACTCAAAGAGGCACAACCTCCACCACTGTGAAAAATGTTTAGCAAATACACTATGGTGGTATTCTAAGATTTCATTTTCCTGGTGTTCTCAATGTTAGTATTGATACATATCTTTGCTAATATTAAAAAAAAAAATGGCAACTAAATTATTATATATACATGGAATTTAATTAAAAATAATCTCTCTTTATCTCATTTCTTTCTACTATCATTATACTATTTAGTTTCTAAATTGAAAATTCAAACCTATTCCACTTAATTTTTGATGAATTGAGGCACATTCCTAAGTTGAAAAAAATTACAAGTAATCTCACTTTTTCTGAGTTAAATAAGCTGAAAAAATCAAATAATCTAGAATCTAGAATTGTAATCAAACACCATCAATTGACCTTTTTTTAATCAAATAATCAAACTAAACCCAAAGATTTGTTTATAAAAAAACAAAATTCAAACCCATTAAGAAATGAATTGAACAAATACAAATTCTATTATGTATTAAAATTAAGTTAAATTTTTTTTATACATACCTTAGTCCCCACTCCATCCTTGAGTGTGAGAGATTTTCGCCCTTAATTCTTATTTTACAACTACTATATTAAAGAGCACAGATCCTTCAGGAAATAGCTTTTCAAACTTTGGAAAGCATAATGGTTCACACAAAGACAATAAGAGGAAAAGCCATGGCCTGACCAAAACGTGGCAGTTTAAAGGTGTAGCAGTAACTAATGTCCCTAAGGGCAGCAGGTATCCCCCGAATCCTTCCAAATCAAAATAATAATAATGACAATAACAATAATCTCACAAGATTTGTTTCCTTTCTTACTTTCTCTTTCCTCTTTTTCCCCCTTTTTTTAAACTCAAAGAAATCAAGATTTCAAAAAGCAAATGACTGTGTAAAGAAACCCAATAATGGAGGTGGATGTATGAATAACAGGCATAAAATAGCTCAGCTACGTCAAATCCAATGCTTAACGTGAGAGGAAAACAACATTTGGGGTAAGATGAAAAATAAAGCAAAACCCAAATCACATTGAAGGGGAAAAAGGAACAAAAAAAAACCTAGATTCCAATGTTTGATTTTTTGTAATAAAAACCCAATTACAGATACGATTCACTGTTAGAATTTACCATAAACCTACCACCACTACCACCTCACCTACTCCACTAAACCAAACCCACTACACCACTACCACCTCCACTTCACCTACTCTCCACCTACTCCCAAACACACTCCTATATAATAGGAATCCTTGTAATTGTAATACTTCTACTTTAGGTTTGTAATTGGTCTCCCTCTCCTCTATAAAGGAGAGAGCTCAACACAACATATCAACACAGAACAAGATAGATCAATCAATAATACATCAATTTTAACATGGTATCAGAGCAAGGTTAAGCACTTAATATTTTTCGCTTCACCGGCGGGCGGCAACCTCGCCTTGGCCGCCCGCCGGACCTCAGCCTATTCCGCTGATAAAATCAACAAAGATCTGTGCAACTGTAGCCCTCTGTTATGGTCAGGAGCGCTTCCTCACGATGGTTAGATTAACTGGGTTTGCCACGCTCACTGTAGCGATGCCGGCACTACGATACCAGGTGAACTTCGCCTGTCGGAGACCACCTAGACAACCAAAAACACACAACACTCAGACAACACAAACACGAGGCCCACGGCTCTCTCCCTCAACCAACTCCAATTTTCCGCACTTCTACCTTGAGAGACTTGAGGTACCTGACAGCTTCATCAAGAACAGCAACAGTGTTCATTTGGTTGGCACCGGGAACAATTCCTCTAAGTGTCTTCACCATCTTCCTCATTTTCTCACGCTTCCTTTCACTGTTACACCTGCCAGCGGACTTCTGTAAAGAAGGCAACCTGCTCTTTTTGGGTTTTGAACCGTAACTAGAGCAAGAATCCGAGGAATCGCTTTCATAATTTCCACAACATGATCTCTCTCTCTCTCTCTCATCCAACGCCATGGCTGAATTGTTGATCGGAAACAAGAATATGAATCTCTCTCTTAAACTCAAGCTCTTCACTGCTATTCTAATAGGGCTGTGTTTCAGTGTCTCCATAGCTGAGCTTGAGAGGTTCGAACACCCTACAAAAGCTGATGGGTCTCTTAGCGTTTTGGTGGTTGGTGACTGGGAAAGAAAAGGAAATTACAACCAATCTCAAGTTGCTCTTCAGATGGGCAAAACAGGAGAAAAGTCGGACATAGATTTCATCATTTCCACCGGTGATAACTTTTACGAAGATGGATTGACTGGTAGATGATCCAGCAAACAGCTTTTCTCTCTCTCACTTTACTTTTTCCCACCCACCAAAACCTAATCATCCTGCTGGCCATGTATCTTCTTCTTTCCACACACTCCTGTTCCTCACTCCACTTTCTTTTCTTTTTTTTATATATTTCTTTTAATCCATCTTTTGAAAAGAAACCGCACTCACCCCACGTGCCCCCAGCTACTTCCCTTCAAAAAAAAAAAAAAAAAAAACAACCCAATTTCCAATTTGCACAACCAACCATATTTTATTCATCTCAGGTATCAATCCTGATCCCAATTTTACACGAAAAAAAAATAAAATAAAATAAAATAAAATAAAATAAAATAAAATAAAATAAAATAAAAAAAAAAACCACAAACAAACAGAACCCACACAAACCAACCACACCCACAGTGGGATTTTTCTTCTCTACTCTGCTGCAGATCTCTTCTTCTTTCCTCCGTCCTGGGCGGCCCTTGACGGTGCTGCCTCCGTGTTTCCTACGCCGCCGAGCACGTTCACTCCTCCATACTCCTCCACTGCAGCATACGGCGGACCTCCAAATCGGAACATCACAAACTGTTCCGACATTGATTCCGGTTAGCTCCTTCATGGGTTTTTAAGGGTCCGACAAGACTCTGTAAACTGTTCCGACATTGATTCCGGTTAGCTCCTTCATGGGTTTTTAAGGGTCCGACAAGACTCTGTAAACTGTTCCGACATTGATTCCGGTTAGCTCCTTCATGGGTTTTTAAGGGTCCGACAAGACTCTGTAAACTGTTCCGACATTGATTCCGGTTAGCTCCTTCATGGGTTTTTAAGGGTCCGACAAGACTCTGTAAACTGTTCCGACATTGATTCCGGTTAGCTCCTTCATGGGTTTTTAAGGGTCCGACAAGACTCTGTAAACTGTTCCGACATTGATTCCGGTTAGCTCCTTCATGGGTTTTTAAGGGTCCGACAAGACTCTGTAAACTGTTCCGACATTGATTCCGGTTAGCTCCTTCATGGGTTTTTAAGGGTCCGACAAGACTCTGTAAACTGTTCCGACATTGATTCCGGT